TTATGATGTGGGCTTCCTTTTTCTTGGGCCAGGGAGTACTTGTTTGCTTTTATTCTCAAGAATGGTATGCACGTCAACACTGTCCTCTGAAAAATGTGAGTCAATAAATCCAACTAGAATGCAATCTTACTTGTCCCCTGATGTGGTTGGTGGGTCATGTAAAGGAGGGTAGTAAGGAGATGATGATGATTTTGGCAAAAGGATGGAACTATGAAGTAAAGCAGTTTATTATCTGATCTTATTTTGCTTTCCTTGAAATTTCTCCCTTTTGGCATCAAATTAAACTTACCTATTTATTGGTTTTCTTTTTTATTCCTTTTTCAGCTTTTTCTTCAACCTTTTCTAGTTTTTTTCTGCCTGTCACCTGAGAATCTAGGTATTCTCTAGAGTTTCCCTAATAGCATGTATGTTCCTACCACCTACACACACATGTATATTTCACCTCTTTCTCCAAGTAACAAACTCTTGTAAAATTGTCAGACAACATTGATGGGGTAGGATTCTATTTCCCTTGATTCTTAACCGTTTTGCTTTGTTATTTTTTCTTTTTTGTAATTATGCTCAGGTTTCATTTATTCTTAGAACTTTGTTTTTTAGCTGTGTATAGATAACTCCAAAATTTGAGAGATAGGGGTGCTTTCTTGATGCATCTGCTTGGGTATTTCTTCCTGGCACTTACAACTAAAGATTAGATTGACCAGGTTCTTCTATGCATTTCTTCTTTCTCTATACCCAATCTTGGTTATATAGCTTTAAGTCTCCCTTATTTCCTTTTTTTTTAATTTTTATTTTAAAGAAAGTAGTAAAAAAGAACAATAGCAAAATACCAACATCACAGATATAAACAAAACAAAGCAAGAACATAAAAAATGATACAGGGTTTTAAAACAAAATGATAGGAATTAACAGTGGTTGTTATATTACATATTGTTATCTTGAACTAAGTTGCTCAGATTACCAGATGTAAGAACAGAAGATTGTTCAAACCATTAAAGAGAATAAAAAAAAAATTATTAAAACAATTACCGATGATACAGAGTTTCATTAGACAAGATGGTAGGAATTCATCAATGGTTGTTCTGTTGCATATTGTTGTCTTCAAATTGGTTGCACAGATGACCAGATATAAGCATGAAAAATTGGTCAAAATATAAAAAATTTTAAGCATTAACTGTTCCTTTCAATAAACCACCAGACATCAGCAATTCTCCCTTATTTCCTATTGAGCCTTTTATGTATCTGAACTGAGTTTGTGCATCTGAACTAATTTGAGTTCATGGTCATGCTGTGCTCTCCTTTTATTTATTTATTTATTTATTTAGTGGTCCTGGGGATTGACCCCAGGGCCTTTGTATCAAGTTACCTCCATGTTCCTTTTATTTTGAGATAGGGTCTTGCTAAGTTCCCCAGGATGGACTTGAACTTTTTGATCCTCCTACCTCAGCTTCCCTATGTGAGGGAATTACAAACATGCACCACCATACTTGACTAATCATACTGTTCTTATACTCAGATTCCACATATCAGATGTTATTAACCAGTCAGAATTCAGCCTGGATCTGTATTTTCAATGAAGCTTTTTTTGAAATTGTTGCTCCCATTTTTTCTATTTCTGAACTTTGATTATACTTCATCTGCTTCTCCTTTACGTAGTTCAGTAATTTAAAATCTCATGTTATAGTCTTTTGTGTACATATTTTATCACTGTTATCCTACTGCTATTTAGATTTTAGACCAAAAAGTAGTTTTGTGCTAAAGTAGGAAGGCAAGATGTCAAGAGAGATAGTATCTATTTGGAATTTGGTCAGGAGTCCATGCAGTTGTTTAGTTTATTGAACTTCAAAAACTTCAGGGAAGCTCTAAATTGAATAAATTAGTACATATATAAAAATACTATCTTCTGAATTAGTGAGCTTCTTAAATTTTTTTTTTTTTTTTTTGGTTTTTCTCCGGTACCAGGAACCGAACTCATAACCTTGCACTTGCTAGGCAGGCGCTTTTGCTGCTGAGCTAAATCCCCAGCCCCTAGTGAGCTTCTTATAGCTTAAAGGTTACTGAAATGCTAAGAGGAAACCTATAAATATACCATATGTAACACTGACACCCCGTCCTACCCCCATGCCTCATACATCCCAGTGAACACACATAAACCGTTTTTCTTTTCTTTTTTCTCCGTCACAGCCCACATTTCTGGATTATCTACGGCCACGTTCCTGGACTTGTCGTTATGTGTTTTAGAAGCTTGCATTTTATTTCCTTGTCACTGAAGATTTAAACGCTCTGCCTGATTTGGGGACAGCTGTTTCCAGCTGTTACTGAAGTTGGGACCACTCCAGCCTTTACAGCACATCGTGACTCACTCCATTCCTTGGGCACCTGAAGCTGGGCTGTTGAAAGTTCACTGGAATCTTGTATTCTTTTTTTTTTTCCTTTTTGGGAGAAGAGAGACTTGTAGCTGAGGTTATGACAAATTTTTTGCTGGGTCATCTCAGCTTACACCCTGGTGATATCTGTTTCATGACTCTCTCCAATCAGAATCTAAACATCTCATTTTTTTGGCCACTGAATTATCCAAAAGCCCTTAGGAAGAGCAGAATCATTGTCTCTGGCTTAGGATTTTTTTTCATACACACTGTAGGAAGTTATTCTAATTAAACATGCATTTGGGGAAAAGAGAAAACATGTAACGGTTTTATACCTTATTTTGTATTGTTTTTAAAGTTCAAGTCTATTCAACATTTTTCTTTTCTGTGCAATTTTTGTGAAGCAGTTAATTGCCCTTCCCCTTGAATTCTTGAGTTTGTATCCATAATAGTACATATATTGAGGGGGCTCAGAGTAGGAAGGGAAAAAAAGTGCACAGGAGAAAAAAAACATTTTCTCTTATAACTTCTAAAGTAATTTTTAAAAAGACTTTCTGGATCAATTATGTGGTTAAGGTAGTTTATCATGTAATTTACATAGCAGGTTTTTTTAACTTTAAGGTAATAATTTATTTGAAGTTAGAAGTATCCTTTGGTACAGTTATTTTATTGCCTAAGAAATACGGACTTACCTTCAGTGTTTTGCAGACTGTTGAGTCTGTAACATAAGTGTTAATCACCTCCATTAATATTCAAGTGATCATTAAAGGATCCAGAATCTGGCTTCTGAAGAATTTGCTCAATTGTTACGATTTTAACAGTAGTATATTTTTAGATGAAACAAATTAATATGTGATTATTTTTAAGGAAATGTATTCTATTTGTGATCTTTCCAGGTTATAAGATGCCCATTCTGAAAACACTATGGGAGGTAGAGATTATTTTGTCTGTCTGTATGAAATATGCTTATGTTGGTAAAGGCTGCACTAGAAGGGATGTCAGAGACTGTACAGATCAACTTTCTACCCAAAGAAGTGAGATTCATGAATTACTGAAATAGTGACTACTACTTGGAGCAGCTACTTGACTTTTTTTGGATTTGGGAAGTCTTGTAGAATTGTTTTGAAAGACAGTTGGAGTCTCCCAAGAAGATAATGTAGTTTCGAAAAAGTCACACATAATATGGGTCACAAATATCCAGCTTAATCATCCATTTTATTCACCAGATGAATTGAGGATGTTTTAAACATCCACAACACACGTGTGCCCCAATGGGGGTTATTTTTAAATAGGTATTCCGTGTGCTTCCAGTAAGCTGTGTTCTGCACAGTACTGTAAGTGTAATGGAGCTGTAACCTCCAACAGGATTCTGGCATTTTTTTCTAAAAATCAGAATGCATCAGGCATTTGAATCTTAACTACATTTGAAATATAATGAAGAAATAAATAGTTCTAAAAGTTGGTTATAAATTAGACAGTCTTTTGAAGCAAGAGAATGGACTTTTTAGGTGTATATTTCTGTTAGTACTATGAATGTGCACTCTCATGAGAGGAGCTTGTCTAAATTCTGGGATTACAGGAATGCAGCACTGCACCCTGTTGATTAAAGCCATTTTAAAAAGGTAAATAAAACTATCCTATTCCCCTTTATTAGTGATTGTTCTGTCTAAGAAAAGTGATAATAAGTGATGTGTGTCGGTCTGTAGACTAATAGAATCCTAAGATTTTCCTAAGAAACTTTCAGAATCACTTAACAAAGGCCTGGCCACTTCTTGTCAAAAGTTGGTTTATTAAGCCCAATCTTATTGCTAGCTGCCTTTAGCAAAAGTCTTTCCTTTAGAGCATCACATATACTTTTTAAATAAGAAGTAAAACCTTGCTCATGTGTTTCAGGAAAATTCATTTATATTTTTCTAATGGAGTGGAAATTATTTTCATTTGCAAAAAACTTTCATTCTGAAAAGTAATGAACTTAGATTTTCTTACTCTAAGAAGTGTTAATGATAGTGACAACTAAGTAGTATGTACGGTATTTCAGTTTCTCATTAGATCTATCGTTTGATTTTTTTTCTCTCATGTGATTTTTAAGTACCTTTATGTGTGGGAGAAATACATAGAATACACAGTATCAGATGTTTTTTAGTCTCAGTCCTAGATAACGGGGAACAAAGTGGGAGTGTTGTTCTGTTGGTGGCAGAGTAATGTACCAAAATTATCTATGTGAAGTTACTTGCTTCATGTTAAAATTTAATTAGAAAAATTGAGTCTGCTTTTAACCTGTCAGTAGCTAACAATTTAATAATTTGGGGGCAAAAAGTATAGGGAAAACATTTTGACCCTTTTCAGTATTATCAGGTAAAAGTTAGTGACACTGCCATTTTGAGACAGTGCAACAATGCATGGCAGTGCAAGTCTGTAATCCCAGCACTTGGAAGGCCGAGGCAGGAGGATCACCATGAGTTTGAGGTCAGCCTGGGCTACATAGTAACTTCAAGGCTAGCCTGAATTATGTAGTGAGACCCTGTCTCAAAACAAAGAAAGTACAGTGTAGGAGCTGGGGATATGGCTTAGTGCCAGGAGCATGTCCCTAGTATGCCTAGTGTCCTAGGTTCCATCCCAGCCATGGGGGGAAAAAAGGTATGATGTATAAATAGTAATTATATTTGCAAACATTATTTTATAGAACAAATTAATTCAGTGCAAGCAATTTTCATTGTAATTTTAAGATATACATGTCTGAAAAATTTTTAATAAGGGTTTATAGAAAACAATATATTTCAAAGTTACTCATTTGGTCTACATTTTCTAAAAAGATGCAGATAGGGGTAGTGGTGCACATCTGTAATCTCAGCAGTTGGGAGGTTGAGGCAGGAGGATCATTACAAGTTTGAAACCAGCCTGAACTACATAGTGAGACCCTGTCTCAAGAAAACAAAAAAATAAAAAGATATGATTAATTGTTGATAGATCTCTTGTGCAAAAAAAAAAAAAAAAAGTCATGGGTGTAAACAATTTTCAGTAAAGTCTGATTGTTCCTTGTGGAGGAACGGTAGTGAAGGTAAACAAATAAAACTGTAGCAATGAGGTACCCTGGTGCAGTCTAGTCATTTAAACTTTAGTTATGGAATCATCTTTAAAAATAGTTACACTTCAGCCCAGCATATAAAACAGACACAGTGTATGTTCTTCAGGTTGAACTAGGTGTAGTGAGCCTGCAGCAGTGCTTGGTATACTTACTCTCTCCCGTCCCAGACTTCTGTGTTTGGAAAACAGTGATGTAGTGAAAAGAAAGCACAGGCTTTTTGATTAAGGTAGCTTAGTATTTATGAGCAGTGTGAAGTAGGTTAAAGTTGCTTAAAAGCCAGAATTTTCCTCATCTGTAAAATGGGGATAATAACTACCTGATAGGGTTGTGGCAAGCAATACCCCTGGCAGAAATATGACTTCATTATTTTCTTACTCATTATAAATTTGAAGCCTGAACCCTTATTGGTATTTTTTTTAAAAAACCCAAATGTTTCCAATGCTGCAAACTCCCAAGAATATATGGTTTTAAGTAGACCCTTAGTGCGATGTGAATGGGATTGAGCACCCTGATAGGTTCTCCCATTACCTGGTCATTTTTCAAAGATTGTTACAGGCACTCACTGGTGCTTCCATTTTTTCAAGATTGCCTTCAGATGTATCTGCTTTAGTATTAGAGTGGCAAACTTTTTTGCTGCAGTCACCTAGGTATCTAAGTCAAGCGTTTAGAACTAGTGTGTATATTTTATAAGGACTTAGAATTTATGGGGAAGTAGGAACCTCACAAGTTTTCATTTCTGCCAATGTAAAGAATGCTTACAGTCTTGAAAGACAATACACTTTTTTTTTTTTGGTACTGGGAATCAAACTTGGGACCTTGTGCTTCCCAGGCAGGCCCTTGTGCCACTGAGCTGTATCCCCGGCCTGACAGCAATACACTTCTTAATGGAAGATATCTCGTACTTTTTTTTCATACTTTTGTTGATAAAGTTTAAATTACTCGTGTTTTGCAAAATTTCATGTAGTTTATATAATACTCTACAACACTAACAAAGATCTGTCTTAGGCATTCTTAAGTCTTACCTCTAGGCTTCATAGCTCTGACATCAAAGGAAAGTGGGACATAAATATTTTGAGAAATACAATGAAGGTTGTTAGTGAAACTTCTATAAAGATTTGATTAGTTTTCAATATCACTAAAGTTCTGTCAGGTAATGCAGTGTTGAAGCCCTTTGTTGAAATAAAATGCTACATATAACCCCACTTTACAGAGAAGATAAATTATGGCTACTGTGGTCGAAACGGAGAGTGAAATGCCTACTTGGAAAATCAGCAGACAGTAACAACAGTAAAAGTAATAAGCTTTAGGTTAGTAGAAAAGCTGTATGATCTATATAGTCTACTAAATCATTAAGTTTTTTTCTGTAAAATGAAAAGGCTTTGTTTGTTTAATCAAATGGTGTCTTGCTGTGCTTCCCAGACTGGCCTTGAACCCCTGAGCTCAAGGTATTTGGTGTCACAGCTTCCTCAGTACCTGGGGCTAGAGGAGTGTGACATCATAAACGATGAGGCTTTTTAATAGCTAAGTTGGGCTTGAAAAAAGAATGGATGAATTTCAGAAGTAATAGTTCATTTTAAAATCTAATACCGTTCTGTGTTCTTTTTTTCTAAGTGCTCATTTTTATTTTTACATGTGTGTTTCTGCTGTCAATATGCCCTTTCCCATGGAGTGCTAACCTTCAAGCTAGTAGATACTGCACATGGTTTTGTGGTGGTATGTTTTAAGGAGATGGTAGCTATATTTTAAAAACCAGTTGAAAAGGCAGTTCACTCACCCAGTCATTTTAACAGTTTTGAAGTACCACGTGCCCTTGTGCCAGTTCTTGGGTGGGAAGAGCTGAAGCCCCAGTCTAGGCTTTGCCACTTGGCTCAGTGCAGCAGCTTCCTGTTTGTGCCTCTCTACTTTGTACAGTGATCCCTGGTTTTCTGATCATAGTGGGAGGGTCACTGAAATCCAAAGTTGTCCTTAAAGGTTTTTTTTGTAATCAGGTTATGTGTTTCCTAATGCATTCTTGTTTGCTCTTTAATTCTTCTTCTTCCCCCGCCCTCACAAATCCTTATTTGTTTAACCATTCCTGATGTCTTTGTATTCATTGTATTACCATTTCTCTTAATTTTTTAAGCTTTAAAAATATATACATACAAAATGATAAAGTATTGCTTATGTGAAGAATGTGGTAATAAATATATTTGGAAAAACCTACTCTGTTTTAAAAGCAACTTTTTTCTTTTTTAGACAGGGTCTTTTGATGTAGTTCAGGCTGGTCTTGAACTCACTGTGTAGCCCAGGCTAACCTTGAACTTTGCAGTGATCCTCCTGCCTCAGCCTCCTAAGTGCCAGGATTACAAGCATGTGCCACCACACCCAGCACAAAATCAATTTTTTGTGTATCAAATATTAACTGAATTTTGTGTTTATAAGAGTTTTTCACCTTAATCTCAGGCAACTTGATATGCTGACTATGGCCAAAAGAGAAAGCAAACAACTGCACAGGGCTTTCTTGTCCAGCTGGTAAAGGGGAGCCATGTTACAGATCACAGGAATAAATATAGGGTCTGGTGGGGGCTGGATTTGCATCGACAAGCAGTGACACTGATTTTCACCTTCTATTGTTATTATCTGTTACTTGACTCCTTTTGCTCTTGACCTTCTAAAATCTGTAAATGTGTCATTCTAAGAATCCTCTGCTTTTTCTCCTCTGGGTGGAAATGGAGTTAAAGTTTCTAAAGAGAGTGTGCCTTTTATGACAAAACTGGAGTGGTTTGGAAGCAAGATCGACCCTCTGCTTCAAACATGGTTCAGATATGACTTCTCCAAGATTCAGGTGTTGCCAGTGTGTTAGTCTGAGGACGTGGGCCCCCTAAGGGGGCTAGGCCTTGTGGGCTCCTGCCTCACGAGAAGGACTAAAGCCCTTTTCACGGGGCTTCCCCTACATTTGGCTCTCTTGCCCTTCCTCCTGCTGTGTGAGGACACAGCATTACTCCTCTTCAGAAGCATCCTTCTCCAGCCCACCAGACCTACCGGCAGCTTGGTCCTCTCCAGCCTCCAGGACTCTGAGAAACATGTCTGTTTCACACAAACCGCCCAGTTGCAGGTAATCTGTTACAGTACATGACTAAGATCCTTCCTTCGGAGAATCTACTCGTGATCATGATGGTGACCGGGTCCGCTATGCTTTGTACCCGATGCTGCCATTTTCTTTCCTCTGAAGCATATGTCACACCAACAGGCAGGATGTGCTCTTTATCACCCTCCATGACCTCACTATACCCACCTGCTTCCAAGAGAGAAGGGACAGTCTCTTTAGAAATGAAACATGCCCCTTTGTTGGACTTCAGTGTGGCAATTTTTCTTGAGGAAAATTTAGTCTTGTTCTTTTTGATTTCAAAAGCTTGCACTGGGACTCAGGTTTATGCACCTGAATATGTAACTGGTGTACCAGTTTGTAAAATTACCACGAGAAAATCACTCCTTGAGTGCCGTACGCAAGGTTGGCATGATCAGTGAATTTGCTGTCTGTAATAGCCCAGTGTGTAGGTTGAGAAATGTGAATTTATTCCCAGCAGCATTGCGCACCAGCTACTGGGCTGTGCACTGAAGATATGTCTGAGCAGGGCAAAAGCTATTTCTTCCTGGAGGCACACTGTGTGAGCCGAATAGTGACAAAACGACTCTGGGCTTGGGGTGTGCTCAGTGGTAGAGTACTTTCACAGCACGTATGAGGCCCTGGGTTCAGCCCCCTAGTACCACACTAAAACAAAAACCAGTAAAACAGCAAAAACAAAAGCCAACGAGCTAAGGCATCATTTTAGTTTTAGGAATGCCCTTCTTGCATAGAAGTTTTCTTACTAAGTGCTTGGCTGAGCAGTGCCTAGACTTCCTTTATGTCTCCTTTGAAAAATTGATAATTGATACCTTTATTTTTAAGCTACATTAAATACGAATAGTGATTTACTTCCCACTTAGACTCCTGCAGGGAGTTTTGCATGCTCTTAAATGCCTACAGATGTGTCTATAAGAATCCCTGTCCACATTCGGTACAAAGGAGATGGGTGTAAAAACACACCCACGCACCCCCAAGGCAGGTTTAGTAATCACACTGGCTTTCTTCTGAAGGACAGTAGTTCTAGTTCGTGTTAAAGCAGCCCTAAGAGTCAGCCAAAATCAACAAGCACAACTGGCCCCATTTATAACCACAACCCTGTTGCTGACATTGATGGATCCCACTCTCGATCTTTCCTATTTAGTTTTTTATTTTCTTTTGTTTTGAGACAGAGACTCACCTTGTAGTCTAGGCTGACCGTGAATTTAGTGCTGGGATTATAGGTGCATGCTACCAGGCCCAGCGTTGATATTTTCTATTTAGAAAAATTACTGACCTGTTCATCTTATTTTTTTTATATAGTACTTCTCATCAAAGACCTCAATATTTTACCTTACTCTATTTTGGCTTTCCCTTTGTTGGGCAGGCAGGTAGACATGAGTGGGCCTCAGGACAAAAGTGTGTGTGGGGAGATCCAAAATAGCATGCATTCCTAGCTAAGTAAAGAAAGACATCAATGTTTAATACATTTATAATCATTTGTTAGGCCTCACTCCCAAAGCAGTCCCACAGAGCGCAACGACATCTTAAGGTTATATGTGCACACATGTCTTTTGATAGCAGGCCACCTGGCCATCTAATTCCAGAACAAGGCAGAACGCATTCCTGGCTCTGCCAAAACCTACAGCCTGATAATACAGGGAAGGAAATATTCTTTAAGTAAAGACCCTTCTGCCTTGGGCTGGATCTGGTTTAAATTAAGAACTTACCTTTCAATTTTTTTTTTTTTTTGCGGGGGAGGGGGCAGGGTTTGCTGACATTGAACACAGGGCCTTGTGCTTGCTAGGCAAGCGCTCCACCACGGAGCTAAGTTCGTAACCCCTCAAATTTCCTTTCATAAATTCCTTACCTAATTAAAAGCCCATGAAGAAACTGACCATCTAAAAAGGACTTGAAGACATTTTTGCAATTCCAAAGTAACTTCTAAGTGAAATGTTGGTAAGTATCGTAATTATCCCAGGACCCAAATGTATCCAAACTCATACTCAAAGCAGATGCCTTCTCCCTTAGGGCAAAGTTCTCTATATCTACTTTATAGTAAATTCTACCTATACTTCTGCATGGCCTATGTGTCTTGACTGAATTCTTTCACTAAGGTCACAAAGGACCAAGGACCAAGGAAGTGAGGGGCCAGTTTCCCACTAACAGCTTGGTATAAAGTTATGGGAGCCAGATGTGGTGGCACATGCCTGTAACCCCAGCACTCCGGAGGATCGTTGCGAGTTCAAGACCAGCTTGGGCTACAAAGGGAGCTCAAGGCCAGCCTGAACTGCATAGTGAAACCCTGTCTCAAAAAAGGCAAAAAAAATAGGGGGGCTGCGGATTTAGCTCAGCGGCACAGCGCCTGCCCAGCAAGCGCAAGTTTGTGAGTTCGATCCCCGGTACCGGAAAAAAAACAAAAAACAAAACAAAACAAAAAAAGTTATGGGAAGCGCTTGCTCAAGAACAGAGCTTGCCCAAGAATAACAATTGTAATCTTTAACAGTGGTTGTCTTGTAAAGTCTGTGTTATCTATTCAATTTTAACCCGGCCTTTGAGATCTTCAGACTCATATATAATCAGGTACCTTCCATTTCCACCTGGATGTGTGATGGTACCGCCAACTCAGTAGGGCCACAAGTCTTAACACAGAACCTTCCTATTCCTGTTCTCAGTAAATGGTATGTATGGTCACATACTTTTGCACAGGACAGAAAGAAAAGTAATTTTTTTTCCCCCTTCAAGATGGTGTCTCACGCTGTTAACCTAGACTGGTCTCCAACTCCTGCGTTCAAGTGATGCTCCTGTCTCAGACTTCCAAGAAGCTGGGACTACCAGGGCGCTACCACCAAGCGCGCCGAGAAGTAATCTCTCATGGCATTTTCTTTGCATTACAGATTGATCGCAAATCCTACAGATGTTACTTTCTTATGTGTTCATTTATTTCTCCCTTTACTAACACCCTACTTAGAATTTTTGAACTGGGTTAAAAGAACGTAAAAGATAGGTCACTCTGTTCTAGTACCTAAAGGCTGGATAAACTCTGCATGGACTGAAACTGTGTTTGGGGACCTCTGAAGTTCTACAGTGGCTGTGATTCCAAACTATAACGTGACACCAAAGAGGAGGGAGAGGGGCAACAAACTGGGGGAAATTACCCTTCGCCTACCTGTGCTCGCCTTGCCTGTCACTTGTTTTGACGATTACCAGTCCTTAAGAAGTGCAGGGCCAGCTTCTCCGCTGAGAGACCCTTGCGGCCTGCACAAGCAAGGGTCCTTTGGGAACTTGTCCCTAACACTGCTGTTTTGAATCTTTTGCCTATATTCTCATTGCCATTAGTTTGGAAACCAGGGCTTTAATTCTGTGAACATAAAACAACGGGTCCTCGAAGCATACTGAAGGCGTTTGTCCACTGACGTCGTACTGAGGAGTATGACGACCGAATAGCACAGTTTTCTCGTGTGAAGTTCATTTTCTAGAGTAAAGGCAGCAAAACGATGAAACTCCACCGACATTATTTGGTATTAAATTAGTCTTCACGCGAAATGATCCCTAGTACGCAGCCTGGAACGGCGCTCCGGGGAAAGGACAGGCGGCCAGAAGCGGAGTGGGAACGTGATCTCAGCTAGGCGCGAATACGCTGTCCGTACGGTCCTGGAAGTCGGCTTTTCAGCGAGAGGACCCAAGGATTGCACCCGGGTCGGGCTGGGTTGGGTTCTTCCCTGCAGGGTGCCTGTCCTCGCGCTCCGGGGAAGGCAAACGTGTCCCTAAGGACGCCGTGACCACGATGCTAAGATTCCGGCGAAAACCTCGACGGGCGGGAAGCCAGAGCTTTTGGTGACCCAATTCTCCCGAATCTGCTTGTAGAAAAACATGCAAAACAAGAAAAAGATGCAACGGAGGGACACAAGTTCTCAAACAGCCCTTGGTCAAATCTCGCACCCGCCACTAAGATTCTCTGCCCGGGAGAACCCGCTGGCGCCTGCAGATCCGCAGCCCTGGTATCTAGACACTGGGATTCCGTGACAACGCCCAAGTAGTCATTTTTCTTTTCTATTTCTACTGAACCTAGGCTGTGACTTAGCACACACTGAAAATCCGAGAGAGAGACAGGACGGTTTCTCACCTGTTCCTCTCCTCCGCCGGCACCGCCGAAGACAGCTCCGACTGAGGGTTGCTAGGGCCCGGGGTCCTGGGTTTCCATGACGACGCGAGGCGTTCGGGAAAAGGCGCCTCAAGCGCCCGGCGGGAAATACGATTTACTGGTACAGATTGCAAGTGTCCGTTTCCCGTCGGTTTAAGTGAAGAAACGATGCGAGCCCTCACCCTGCCACATCTCCGAGTCCTTGGAGCTGTCGTGCGTGAGGGCACTGCTTGTGAGGAAGGTTGGGGTCCCGAGCTGACCTGCCACAGAGCTGCCGGCCGCCTGTGTGTAGGGTCCGCGGGAGGGCGGGCGGGTGTGTCCCTCCCGGTCTCCCCCGGACCCTGACGCACCCACAAGCTTCTTAAGTCAGGTGGGATGACCTGAGAGATCACAGAGGTCTCCGAAAGAAGGAAAACCACGCTGAATGAGTTCTGAAGCCCCGATCTAAACATAAGCACTTTAACGGGTCTCTTTGTTTTGTTTTGCCTATAGGACAATGTAGCCTGAAAGTACCAGTATCATACTGATTTATTTCAGAGTTAACTTCCTGGAGGAATATTTCACATTACTAAAAAGAGTGATAGGAAGCATTATCATGTCTCTCCCGAAAACATCCTCACCTTTAAGCTCCCCAGCATCATACGATGGTACAAAGTCAAAAGTATCTGCAGTCAAGGAGACAAGAGGTAAACTTCAAGTATCCCGAAGACAAATACTTACAGTCACTGCTGGGTGTGGTGCCAAGCGCCTGTAATCCCAGTGCTCTGGGAGGCTGAAGCAGGAGGATCCTAAATTCCAGCCCATTTTAGGCAATTTAGCACCTTAGCAAGGACACTGTCTCGAAAAAGAAAAGAACAAAAGAGGGCTGGCAGTGCTGCTCAGTGCGGAAGCCCGGGGTTCAATCCCCTATACCCTCCCCCGCCCCCCGCCACACCTGCCAAGTAACAGCCATTGACAAGTCACAATCCATTCACCATTTTTTAAAATTTGAGATTCAGCGTATCTTATTTAGCTATATTTTTTTCATTCCTTATCTTTTCCTTCTTTCTTTATCTGAGATGCAGTCTCTCTGCTGGCCAGCTCCTGGGTTCAAGTGATTCTCCGCCACAGCCCCCTGAGTGCTGAGACTACAGCTGTGTGACCTCATGCTCGGCTTAGATACATTTTTTTCTGACACTTTTTTTTTTGTGTGTGTGTGTCTTTTTGAGACAGGATCTCACTATGCAGTTCAGGCTGGCCTTGAGCTCACTTTGTAGCCCAGGCTGGCCTGGAACTGGCAAAGATCTTCCTGCCTCAGCCTCCCAAGTGCTGGGATTACAGGCATGCGCCACCACGCCCAGCTTCTCTCTGTTTATGGAAATGAATGTAAACCATGCTATGTGGGAAGCATTAAGAACAGTGGTGATCCAACTCTACTTAACTAAATTCACAGGAGGCCTTTTCCAGTATTAGTCCTCTTACCCGCTTTTTCCATTCCCCTGCCCTACTTAAGCTGAGTAGGACTATTTTTACAGTTTTTGTTCCACTGATTTGCTCAGATTGTTCTACCCTTAATTTCCAATCATCCCTGTTCTACTTTTAATTTGGGGAGGGGGGCTGGAGATTGAACCCAGGGCTTTGTGCATTCAAATTATGCACTGTATCATGAGATATATTCCAGCTCCTACTTTTGTTTTTAAATCCAACTCAGATCCCTCCCAACCTCAATTCAATTATTTTCACCTTTAAGTTTATATAAGAAAAAATTACTGAATAATCTGACTTGTTTTGTTTTTGTCTGTTTGAGACAGGGTCTCACTATGCAGTTCAGGCTGGCCTTGAGCTCACTTTGTAGCAACCCAGCCTGGCCTTGAACTCTCAGTGATCCTCCTGCCTCGGCCTCCTGAGTGCTAGGATTACAGGTGTGCACCACCACACTTGGCCTTAAGCTAGCAATTTGGGGGAGAGATTTCTTTTATTTTCACATCAAAGGAAAAATATATGTTCATTCCATCGTCTTAAGGCTATCCCAGTTAATTGAGTGAAGTGGGTATGATTTTTAATTTTGAATTTGATACAATTCAGGTTTATCTTTGTACCTGAGGTTTTGGACCTGTGTCTGATATGATGTGAATAGGGACGCAGTGTTTAAGTATTACTTGTTACTACTCTTGTCCATTAGAAGGAGTGTTTCTCTCTTTTAGAAACAGACATGCAGGGCATGGGGGTGCACACCTGCAATCCCAGCATTTGGGAGGCTGAGGCAGGAAGATCGAAGTGAATTCGAGGCCAGCCTGGGCTACAAAGTGAGTCCAGGCCAGCCTGAACTACATCATGTGACCCTTTCTCAGAAACATAACAAAATACCCAGATAGACAAGGATGATGAAGCATTCCAAGATGCTCCAACCAAAAAACTGCAGTAAGAGCTTTTCATTCTCATACTTTCTTAGGACTTCCAGAGATAAGGGAGAAAAAAAATATGGTGGATCGTTCCAAACCCCTTCCTACGTCCCTTCAGAATGAGTTCATCCCTGAGGAAGTTCTGCTTTCTCTGACCTGTGCAACCAGTGCTGGTCCTTGTCCTGAAAATTTACTGCCTCCTAAGAAAGTAAAAACCCCGAAGGTGCGTGTGTGTGTGTGTGTGTGTATATAGAGTACTTGAGAACATTATCTTTTTGTTATCTGCTGCATTAAGTGTTGAGCGTGTAGTATATATTTCAGAATCTTTTTGAAGGTAATTTTCTAGATTGAAAGTTTAGGTCTCTTACACCAATATTTCCAAGGTTTATTTCCATGAACATGTTTTTATGCATTTTTACCAAAATGGTTATTACTACTCCTTAGTCTTAATATTTTCATCCACTGTAGAGTTACCCTAGTTTCAGTCTTTGTCCATGTTATTGAATACGAATGCTGCTTTCTTTATTCCATAGAGTATCCAAATTACCCTAATGTAAGTATTCAAAATTAGTTAGGATTTCATTTGACTAGTGCGCCCTCTGCTGGATATTCATGTGGTTTTGCTTTTTCCCAGGGCACCCTTCCACGCGCGGTAGACCATGTCTGGCAGCACCCTATTCAAAGGAATAAATTCAAATACTTGATTGACCATCCTGTCTCCCTAACAGGAGCTGCAAGGTAAAGAAGGAAGAAAGAAGTCAGGATAGAGGCAGATAAATAGAGGGAGGGTCAGGATTGGGTATCTAAAATTATTGATTATAAAATATGCTGTATCTGCCAGGCGTGGTTGCCCACGCCTGTAATCCCAGCACTCAGCAGGCTGAGGCAGGAGGATTGTTGAGAGTTTGAGACCAGCCCGGGCTACAAAGTGAGCTCAAGGCCAGCCTGAACTGCATAGCCAGACCCTGTCTCAAAAAAAAAAAAAAAAAAAAAAGGCAAAAAAAAGTGCTGTATCTTTGCTAAACAATACAATCCAGGACAAAGAATCACCTTTTTGTGCGTGGTTATCATCAATGTGATAGCTATACATGCTGACTTTACATACTTTAATTTTTTTGGCATGCATTGGTAATACTTGTCCTGATACTATTTCTTGTTTTTCTCTGTTAAAGTGAACTGGTCTATCAGGCAGAATTATTTTATAATATATATATATAGGTACTGAGGATTGAACCTTGCCTTCACACTGACCTATATCCTACCCCTTTTAAATTTTTTTATTTTGTGATGGTGTCACTAAGTTGCACATGGTTGGATTAGATTTGTGATCCTCCTGTCTCAGCCTTGCAGAGTGCTGGGATTATAAGCGTGTGCCACCACACCTGGTGGTATGATGCTTTTAATGCCTTCTAGGTTTGTTTGTTTTTTTTTGTTTGTTTGTTTGTTTGGTTTTTTTGGTACGTCTTAGAAGACCTTGAAGGACAAGTGCTTAACTTCTGGTTCTCTTCAAAGGGAACCCTTAACCTTTACATGGTTTCAGATCAGATCAGCAAATACTATTTGTTGCTTTTACATGATACTAAAGGTTAATTTTTTTTCCTGTGAAGATTGTGACCTGCTTTTTTTTTTTTTTCCTGAGGCAGGGTCTTGCTTTGTAGCTTAGGCTGGCCCTGAACTCTAGGTAGTCCAGGCTGGCCTCAAACTCAAGGCGATCCTCATGCCTCAGCCTCCCTGGTACAACCTGCTCATTTTTAAAGTATTATTTATCCATGGATTTTCTCCCTACTTATGCCTCTGTACATATCACTTTATTCTTTTTGTGTGTTTTTACATGTCACTTTCATCTGACAGGATTGTCACACTTGGGCAGGTTATCTAGTCTTGCTGGAGTTACTTTTCTCATCTGTAAGAAAGGGAATGATAGACTTCAGTTCTGTGTGCCTTCCAGGGATATTGTAAAGCATGAGTGAGATAATGGATGCAAGCGCACTTGCGAAACCATAAAGTCCAATATTTAAGTATCGTGAGTTATTACTCAGCTCTGCGTCAGTGCTGGAAAGAGTGGCGGAACAGCAGCCTGTTGCCTTTTATGTCCTGGGGCTGTAGTGCACTTTGTTTTGTGTCTTCAGATCATGGTTATATTTAGTACTAACTAGTAGTTATGAAATGTTTGAAGTACTGTGAAAAATTAATGAGCTATTTCAGAATGGAACAATAAACTGACATTAAAGTTTTGATGTCAGATGACTTCTGAGTGGGAATTTTTTCAACGTGAAGATCAGGTAGACAGATAACGTCACTGTCGCCTCACGAAAGTATCCTTACTGTAATCCCAGAACTTGCGACTACCTACCTCACAGGGCAGAGAGGACTTGCAGATGTGATAAAGGTTAAGAACCTTGAGATGGAGAGCTTATTCTGGACTGTCAGAATGAGTGCGCCCTAATCGCCTGAATCTTTCAAAGTAGGAAAGGAAGAGTGGAGTGGGCCGGAGAGATGAGGCTGAAGGCTGATTTGGAGCAGGAGAGGAGCTCAGCCCGCCACCCTTGGCTTTGAGAAAAAGGAGCACAGCCGAGAAGCGCAGCTGGGCAGGGGTGGTGGTGCGTGCTGGCATCCCAGCGCGTAAGAAGCTGAGGCAAGTGGATCACAAGTTGAAGCCTAGCCTGAGAAATTTAGCAAAACTGTGTCCCAGATAGAATTTAGAAAGGGCTGGGGCTGTCGCTCAGTGTAGAGCTCTTGCCTAGCTGTGCAAGGTCCCAGGTTCAAGCCCAAGTGTGATGAAAGGGAAAAGAAATCAATGCAGCTGTATACAGGAATCTGGGACTTCTAGTGACAACTCAACTGACAACTATCTAGAAAACAGGAATCTCAGCCTTAACTTCAAGGAACTGAATTCTGTTAAACACAGATGATCACAGAGATGGATCCTGTAGTGCGTCTAGAAAAAAACCAGCCTTGTCAACATGTTGAGCTTTGCCCTGCGAGACCTGCGTTGGACCTCTGACCTGCACAACCAAGATAATAAATCTGTGTTGCTTAAGCTAAGTTCGTGGTAACTTGTTATGGCAGAAATATGTAGATAAGCAATTAATAGTAACAAGAGGTAACTTGTCCAGTGATCTCCAAAGATCCTGAGCACAGCAATAAAATACAAATGACAACGTGAATATTTTTGTCAGCTCTGAGTTCAACAGAAAAAATAAATCATTGTATGTATTTCAAGAAGGAAAAAGCTAAAGGCAGAAAACTGAGTGTTTATAAAATTGCTGGAAAGGTTAAAGGAGCTGGTGTGAAGCAGTGTTTGTGGGAAAACTTCCCAGGATGGGCAGAGTTGATGCCACTAGGAAGGAACTCCCACCAAAGCAGCCACAGTGCTCTGGTTCAGGAAGGTGCCCCTCTGAACAGGCATCTGCCCAAAACACATGCCATTAGGTGAGTTTTTACTCTGTGCTTTTTCTTTGTCTTTCCCTTTCTCTTCCTTCCTTCCTTCCTCCTTTCCTTCTTTCCTTCTCCCTTCTCCCTCCTCCTTCCCTACCTCTTCTTCTTTAGCTCCATAGAGTTTTCTTTCTTTTTTTTCCTGTCTCTATACTGCCCTGAGAATGGGTGATCAAAATACAAAGAACATTATGGAAATGAGTAACATAAGTCAGGACGGGAGTAGAGGAGGTTATGCAAGGATTGTGTGGAAGGCTTCTCGGGGTAACTGTAAGTCTGATCTTGTAATACGGTTGGTAAATAAGGATATTTATCATACAATAAACATTTGAGTTATTTTATACAGTTTTTGAATTTTTGTCAAGAAATTTAAAAGTTATCAGACACCTGGCCAAGATCCCCAACTACTGTATGAAATAAGATGAAATAAGAAACAAGAGACAAATTTAGGAATGCATGAAGGGGACTGGGAGGTCAGTGCCTCAGGATGGGCAGAGACAAAGACGCTCCAAGCCAGCCACTACTTATTGGGCGTCTACAATGATAGGAGGGGCAAAGGCTCAGTGGTAGATGCCTCAGCAGCAACGGATAATCCTGGGATAACTCAAGAGGATGGAGATGATCCCGTGCAAAGAAGGATCTCGCCTTGGAGTGTTTTTTAATCCTTGTGGTTTTAGTCCTAGTTTTATTGGGTGGGAGAGGATGGCCCATCCCTAAAGAGTTAATGGGAAATCTCAAAAGGGTGATACCAATAATCCCAAGCCTCCATTTATCCCTTAGGGAAGCATGCAAAATTAGCTACTATGAATTTGTGGCCCCCGACAAAAAGTACTCATCGGAAAGAGAGCTTAAAATGTTGCTGGATATGTGATCAACATACAAACATATTCTTATGCACAGGTAATCAGTCAGAATACAGTGAAAGATCTCGTAACAGTAGCATAGGGGAAAATCTATCAAAAAACATGGGACCTTTATGGAGAAAATTATATAACTTTATCAAAAGACTTAGAAGACCTGAGTGAATAAGAGATGTGCCATAGTCATGAACACAAAGTATCAGTTATGTAAGATATCGAGATTTCCAAATCAATAAATCCAGTGTAATTTCACTTTAAATTCCAACAAGATTTGTCCTTAAATTCAACAAGCTAATCCTAAAATTCATACGGAAAAAAACGTGGCAATAAGCAAACAATACACCTTGTAGGTAATTAATGCAGTATAATACCACTTATGATTTTAAAACATTCATAATTTTACTACATACTCCTTAGAATTATGTGTATGTAGTAAACATAAAATTACACACTGAAATGATAAATACTGAATTGAAGATAGGGAAGGAAAGGTGAAGAACTTTTTTTTTAAGGTGAAGAACTTTTGACCTAAAGCAATTTGGTTAAATCTATCAAAATTACAAATGCACACTGTTCAATCTAGCAGTTCCACCTGTAGGAATTTATCCTGCAGATATGTGAGAAAGAACATACTGGCAAAAATGTTCATTTCAGTGTTTGTAGCAGGAAGAGATATTGGAAACAACATAATGTTTAGCTATAGGGAATTAATAATGACATATATGTACAATGGGATTCTATGTGGCCTGTTTAAAAACAAAAAGGCTGAGGGGTGTAGCTCATAGTACGGTGCTTGCCTAGAACACCCGAGGCCCTGGGTTTGATCCCCAGCATTGCAAAAACAAACACCCAACCAAAGACACTCATTGTATACTAAGGTAAAGTGATTTTTAAGCAAGCCATTAAGTGAAAAAAACAAGTTGCAGAAAAGGACACAAATACTGAACATACACGTGTGCTGCTTCTTGCTGATAAAGAATTCCATCAAAATTTTTTTATCATTGTCAATTTGATGGGTAAAAAGTGGTATTTGATGGTTATAATTTATGTTTCACTTACCATATACAAGACTGAACATGTTCTCAGTTGTTTAAGATCTATTTGCATTCATTGTTCTCTGAATATAATTTCATATGCTTAAGAGCACCTTGTATTTCTTTTTTTATTTTTGAAGGGGATTCCTTAGTTTTCTATTGAATTGATAGTCTTTTTCTAGTTTATAGGAAAAATTTTTAAGGAAATTGTCTCTTTGTCAGTGACTTGGCCTGAAAAGGTGTCTTCTTAGTTTATGGGTTTCCTTTTGAATTTGCTTTTGGTGATGTTAGTGATGATAAAAGATGCATGTAGTTAAGTTTACCAGTCTTTTCTGTCATGACCTCTGTACAAGAAATCAGTTCCATGCAAATTGCTGTGATTTTAAATAACAAAATTACTGTACCCATT